GATTGGCCGTGGTCCAGATATTCCTGTACGTGTGTGTACGTTAGAAAATGCGTGTGCTGCAGTCACAGACAGAGAGAGGTGAGTAGCCTAGGCCCGTCAGATAAACAGAGTGGATGTAGCCGCGGATGATGAGAGAAGATATATGTAATATTCTTATCATTGAAAATGAAAAAAATAAAAATAATAGATTGCATTATAAACTCTTGATCTGGGAAGTAAATGGTATTATCGTTTTTATTTGTTTAATTAGGAATTTATGCTGCCTCAAAGAAAGCATTTGCTGCTCTTGGGGACCAGTGCAGTAACTGGCTGGAGAAAATCATTGCTCTGGGTGCTGATGGTGCTGCTGTTAATTTGGGCAGCAAAGGGGGTGCCATAGCCCTTCTGCACCAAGAGGCACGTGACCACATTGTGCCTTTCCACTGTATGCCTCACAGGTAAGACTAGAACTTGTAAAACTGCGGTGTTAAATGCGATGCGGTCGAAAATTTTGTGCCGGTGCACCTAAGAAAAAAAGTTAGGCGCACCAGTGCAAAAAGTTAGTCTAGAGCCCTGTTATCATTACAAGAATCTGTTTGCTTATGCAATTTTATGGATTTAGTACACATACAATTATCAGGTATTGGCTTATTCATGCAACATGCATCAAAGTTTAAGGCTGCAGTGCATGTTAATAGTCTCATATACAAATATGTTAAAGAGACCATATATTAGATTTAGTCTCACACAAAATGTGGGATGACTGTCTTCATGTGCGATCACATTTAGCATTGCATTGTTTGGTGAATTTTCATGGGTGAAGTCCAGTCATTTTAATATAGGAATCTGCACAATGTAGAATTTCATGTGAGGGCGAAAGATTTTTCATGCAGATCTCACTGCGGATTCAAGTTTTTGGTCAGTTTTTGTTTTTGAAATCCTGCAAAAATGTTGTTAATGTGACTGCACCTTTTAGCAGAGAGAATAAGTGCTCTTTACATTGGATGGGCAATAATTAATCTCTTTCCAGTCCACTTTATCCTACCATTCTGTGTCCTGTAACTGTCATGGTGTCTGTTAATCCGCTGGCTCACCTTGCTGGTCTTCATACTGAATATTTCAGTAGAAAACAGAGAACTGTGCGCATGTGAGGCAGTGTTTCAGTGCATTTGTCAGTCTGTGGTACTTTCTCTATAAGGGCCTGAGAGAGAGAGAGAGAGAGAGTAAGACAGACCTGGAGAGAGACAGTGGCAGCATCAGCAACTAGAGCAGCCGTGTCTCTTAGGCTTAAGGAAGAAGAGAGCCAGCCACTTCTGTGGATTACAAGAACGTCAGTAAGCCAGGCTGGACTGGAAGGAGTTTTGACTCATCTCTCTTTCCTTTCAGTCGGTCTTGCCGCGTCTTCCAGCTCTTACTGTGTCTTCTTACTGTGTCTGTTACTCTTCCTACTGTGTGCTGTATCATCTGAGATCATTCAGAGGAGATGTGTGGGGTGCTAGGTGTTAGCAGTGCTGGGTACTGAGAGAAAGAGGCACAGGAGAAGAGGGGAGGATGCCGGCCCCCCTCAGGATGAGGAGGGGGGCCTGCAGGTCAGCTATCCCATCTCTCTCCACCATCGCTGAGGAAGAGGAGGGACAGCGGAGCCGCAAGAGACGAAGGAAAGGAGGAGGTACGTGGGAGGTCAGGATAGGAAAGATTAAAAAGGCTGATATAAAACACTCTGGGGTTTTGCTCTCAGGGGTGCTAAGATAACACCCGGCCTATTAAGTGATCGATGTGATCAACTGGTGTGTGTCATCAGATGATGACATAGCAGTGCAGGGTTAATGATGTGCGAACATTACTGTTTTTATGTTTAATAATAGAATATGATGTCATTTATATGTATATACACAATTATATAAATATAACATATTATTTTGACAGATTACATGGAATATATCTTTTAAAATTATTTGTCACTATGTGAAACTGCAAAAAAAGGGTGAAACTCTAAAGAAACATATTTTCCCTCATACAATCATTGGAATTTTAGTCTTCATGAAAACCAAAATACAAGCAATCCAAAATGTCTTGGTAAGAATTCAGGACAACCTATTTTAGAGCCCTGATTCAGTAACTAAATGTGCGTAAGGAAAGTGTGGCCTTAATACTCAGTTGCTAACAGCTTCAGATAGAGTTTCCTTTAGGTTTGTGTCTGTATGTACTGGCATTTGTCTATGGCTGAGCCTTAAAACTGAAAAACACAGCAATTTTGAGCATCATAGGTGTGATGCTTAAAAGCACATTCTAGTTAGGCAGCTTACAAGGTTTTAAGGCCCTGTGAGTTCTAGGGATGGGCGATATGGACTTTAAAATGTATCACGATAATTTCTGTTATTTATTGCAATAACAATATCAATGACGATAATTTAGGGAATCCTGTTTCTGTAGAGAAAAGTCTTATCTTTCCTATTTTTAACCAAAATAGCAGTATACACGTAATATAATGACCGTTTAATTAATACTGGAAGCCGGAGGGCGCCCTTGCGCAGAAACTCCACATATGCATAGAAGTAATCCCCAGGAAATCCCTAATATGGACAGAAGTATCCAGTGATCGCTGTAGCTGAATAAAACGCAGATAGAGGAATTTTAACTGAGGAAACCTGAAGACAATAAACATGCGATTGCACAAAATATATGGTATCTGTGTTCTTCAAGCAATCTTGGGTATTTTTATAAGGATAAAGTATATTTATAATGCAATGCTAATCGACATAGCCTTTATCACTGTATATAATGCTATAAAATAGTATGATTTCTGCCTTATTCTGTTATATGAAACCATGTCTGATCACAAAAATAAGTTATTTCAAACACTCAACTATTTTTATGAAGTTAATGCGGAGAAAAAGCACGTCAATAAATAATATCTTTGTTGGAAAACAGTATTGTAAACGACTCGTACTCATGTAAAACTGTATCGCACACGTGCTACTGTAGTACATTTACTCAAGGCTCAGACCGATTTTTGTAGCACTGTATAGCCCTATCCAAACCTGTTCCAGATTGTAGAAGGAGCTGCTCAATTTCACGTCTGCCTTCCTTCACATCAATCCACACAGTCGTCGCACACAGAAATATGTCAACAACTAGACTTTATCATTATTATCACGGGAAGACTAATTCTTATCGTGGGGAGAATTTTTACCAGTATATCGCAAACGATAAGATATCACCCATCCTTAGTGAGTTCTGAAACACTCATTCTTGACTATGACCTAAAATACAAAAATATGTTTTTAAATGTTCAGTTAGATAATTGTAAGTAATTAGTTCATTTTACTGGCTAATCAGGTTGTTTCAGTTATTTTGTTTTGTTCTGAGTGTCCTCGTAAGCTGATTTCTGCTAGTATTTGTTTGCCTAAATGAGTATTAATGGCAGTTTTGTGAATGCAGACTGAGAATGATGTCAGTGAGTCTAGAGTGACCGTCAGCATCATATCTATTACACTGAAGTGGAGCAAAACGCGTTTATCAGTCTTGAGTGTCAATTTTACCACCGCTTCTACTGAGCAGGAAAATATTTTTGCTCTCTTTACTGGTTGGGAGTGGCTGTTTTGCCCCACCCATTGTCGCTGCAGCAATGGCAGATGACTGACAAGTTGGACAGGATGGCCTGGGCTGTGGGTGGGTCACATGACCACCAGGAAGTGAAATGTAAACAACAGCACAGCTCTGTAAACTGACTGGAAGGATCTACATAAAGGTGAATGGGACTGTTTGGACTGAGGCTAAAGGCTTTACATGTGAATTAGGGATGTAGGTTAATGCTCACGTTCAGTATTTTCATTTCTAGATCTAAAATGACAGATCTCTTTCTATAAGGAATCACTTCTATGTAAGCTTTCTAATGACAATTAGCCTTAATCAAATCACCTAACATTAAAATGTAAAGCAAACATGTTTCAACCTATGAGGTCTGACTCCCGTTTGGCTTTTCACATGTTCAGATTTGGGTCACAAGACTATACTCAGCTGGGTCAAAAATCCCTCTGAACTCAAAACACCGCTGCCTCACTGGAGCTAATGCTGGAGGCATTACACACACACACTCTTAGGCTATGTTCAGATTTTTTTGTGGGGTTCTGGTAACTCAGAAATGGAGAAATGGGCAGTGTGCCGTTTAGAGATTTTAGATCCAGTCGCAAACAACCAACACCTGGTTATTTTAGGCAATTTAGAAATCCTGTGCCGAATGTGTCCCCGGGAAGGTAATTGTGACATTGTTTACAAGCTGTTATAATGACGTTTGTTTAAATGGTGCATCAGTAGTTAAACCACTGATTCAGTGATTACATGAGACATTATACAGATATACAGTACCATTGTACTCTTTCTTTTAACAAACCTTTGGATGTTCATTCATGCTTATTTCATGCTGTAACTGGTATTAAAGTGGAGGAGACGATCAGTTCAGGTGCGTTTCGCACTGCCGTTTCTCTTGAACTGAAGCTCTACAGTGATTTATCACTCAACATTAAACATTGCCAAAATGGTATTTGGATGGTTTGAATATTGTAATAAAATAGACTTTGAAATCAGAATAGAATAGAATTTATTCTATTTTTATTCAGAATATAATAGGATAGAATTTCAAATAGAATTTGAAATCTGTGACTCTGTTTGATAACAAACGTAACAAAGCACAAGTTTATTGTGATTTATTGGATGGGAGGCTTGCTACAATGTTCCATTCATTAACTGAAAACAGGCAAGACTAATCGATTCTTTGGATTTAAGCATCAATATTATTTTTTTAAACATGATCTGACGAGTGAGGTGGGGCCGAGAGCCGTGGAATATTCACCGGTTCCCGCCTCCTCCTTCCCGTGACTACAAACTTTGATACATTGGTGCCGAAACCCGGGAGGAAGGAGGATCAGATTGCACGCTGTCAGATTGCGGTGCTGAGGAGATCGGGCAGCAGGAAGAAGCGGAGACCACCGGTGGCTGCCCGAGGTGGTGGTGCTGGAACGATGGAAGACGAGGTGGGACGGAGGGCTCGCTGCCGTGCTCCTGGGTTGAGGAGGGGTGGCTGCTGTCCGAGAGGGAGCAGAGGAGTCGGCGCCGTTCGCCATGTTTGGGAAGGAGCAGGGAACGGGGGACTTGCTGCCGGCTGCCCTCGACCAAAGGAGCCATCGCCATCCGCCAGGAGGCGGAGGAGTGTCGGGCCTTTTCACCAGATGTCCAGTACCATCGCATGGCACCGCGAGTAAGAGCGTCTCAGCTGGTTGAGGACCAAGCGGCAGTGTGTCCGGGAACTGGACTGAGAATTTTTTTTCTTTTCCTCTCTCCCCTCTCTCGTCTCTGTCTCTCCTCATCCTTCCATCTCCTTTTCTCTTGCCTCATCTGTCTTTACCCCAGGGTACGTTGCGGCTGCCGTGATCGGCTCCCCCCAGGGAAGGGGGGAGTAGAGCGCAGTCTCGGGAGTAGGGATGTTCATTTCGGTTATTTTTCCTAACCGACAACCGATGCTCGTTAACAGATTATTAACCATTAACCGACAAGATTATTAATGAATTCGTTTTGGCTTGTTGTTTATATTGCTATAGCTTCTTATATTTTTTATTCTTTTCTAAATACTGTTAATTGAAAGGCTTTGTTGTGGAGTGAGGGGAACTAAAATAGCCTAGCTATATGTTTACAGTGTTTATTATTATAATGTTTGTAAACATTTCATGTCGGCATTAGGCCTATTTCTGAATGAAATAATAAAATGCGAGTGGTTTTTTTTCTCTCTAAAAAACTATTTTGCAGCAAACCTTTTTAAATATTTTGATAAATTACTGAAAATTATATATTTTTTTTATATTAATCAATCAAAATTCTTACGGTCGGTTAATGGTTAAAATGAACATCCCTACTTGGGAGTACCCCCCGGCCTGCCAGGGGCGATGGGGGTATGTGACGAGTGGGGTGGGAATGGAGCGAGGCCGGTGGAGTTAATGATAATGAGCGACACCTGCGTCACTCACCAGTCTCGAGTCCCACGGAGGAGCTCCGGAAGGATAAAAAGAAGAGTGACGACAGTGTTGGACAAGAGAGGACCAGGCCTGGATTTTATGTTGTTGTTTTGGTTCTGTTCGCTATTTTCAGTTTTGTGTTCATTTTATTATTAAAGTTATGTTTAAATGTTCGCCGGTTCCCTTCTCCTTCCCGATCTACAAACGTTTGTTACATATGAGAATCGATTAAAATTGAAAAACATTTTTTACCCAGTCCTAATTGAAAAGGGCCTTCAGTATTTGAGCAGGTCTTTTTTTAGCTGTTGTACGAACAGGACATTTCAACAGTCACGCTGTTTATCACGCTTGATAAACTAGCACCCCGTTGTTTTGCAGGGGAGGAAGGGCAGTAAATCTAGACAGTGCGCTAAATGGGTCCAAGCTGCTTATTGGATCACTTGCTGAGAGAAAAACTGCATTCAAGGAAAAAGGTGTTAAAGGGGTCATATGATGCTTTTTTAAAATCATTATTTTGTGTATTTGGTGTAACAGAATATGTAGACATGCTTTAATGTTCAAAAAACACATTATTTTTCAAATACTGTACATTATTGCTGCAGGTCCTCTATGCCCCGCCTCTCTCAAATGCTTAGTTTTCTATAAAGTCCCTCCTTCCGACAAGCGCAGTCTGCTCTGATTGGCCAGCTGACCCAGTGCATTGTCCACATAGTGAGGTAGATATGTGGGGGCGTGTTAGAACGAGCCGTTTTAGGGGGGCGTGGCAGAGTCTTAACTTTGATAAAGAATATCTCTTTGGTTTTGAGACTTTAGTCTTTGCAACTTCAGGATCTTATCTATGCACAATCAGCTTGTAACACTCCAAAGAGAAAGGAAAACTTGAAATCGCATCATATGACCCCTTTAAGTTAAAGAAACAATAGGTCTGCTTTATTGAAACCCATGTGAAAATTCAGACTCAAATTGACTTGCATATTTGTTTCTATCATTTCACATTGTTTCGATGAGTGTTAGGTGGTGTGAAATCCTTTTAGATGTTGTCTAACACACCCCGGAATAATATAATGGGTTAAATTGGGTCCTGTTTGATTTGTCTTGTACTGGTTGGTGAGGGTAAGGCTCCTCTGCTCTCTGTAAGCTTAGCTTTAGCTGCTGCTAAGCTGCTCAGATCTCTAAGCCTTCCCGCCCCAATACACACACACACACACACACACACACACACACGTATTCTGGTGCCATGTGGAGAATTGCATTCTAATCGCTGATCTCTCTCTTTAATCTTGTATTTGTTCTGTACTGCACACACCGCAATCACACACACAGTTGGGATTTATAATCTCACATTTAGACGCTCAAACAGGGGGATCTACTATCTCCTCTCGATCAGTCTCAGATTGAAGGGGTTGGGTGAAAGTCCAGTTTTTCTCATCCATGTCTCCAGATGCCTCTCTTTATTTCACCATGAAGGAGCACACACATAATCATGAGCCTATGATGGATGTTGCATCCTTTGGACTTTGTGCATGCATGAGGTCGTGTCTGATCGAATTGGATTAGGATGTCTTCCTTAGTGATGTAGACAAGAGGTTTGCATGAGATTTTCCAGTGTTCTCCAAAACTATGAGTGAGATTCAAGGTAAGAGCTGTCAGTGATGTGCATTTCACTGTTTCCTAGACCAGATGTTTTTAAGCTTTTTAATGCCAAGTTCCCCCAAATATGATGATCCTCTTTGCAAGGAAAGAGTTCCTAGAATGTAATAAAAAGTGCAATATTGATTTTGTGTATGAACAAATGCACATTGTAGATGTTTTGTGAACATGCTTTCAAAAAAAAAATTTTTTCATTGTGCTAAAGCTAAATAAAGTAATATGTAAATGTTTTAATTATACATAATAAATTAAAATTATTTGCAAAATACATTTTTATTTAGTTTTCAGGGTATCTTTTTAATGCAAGTTTCTGTCATGGAATAAAGTGTAATTGTGACTTTTTATCTCACAATTCTGAATGTTTGTGAAAAAAGGGTCACAATTATCTTATTTTATTTTAATCTTTGGCAGAAATGGGCTTGCATCCTTATTTCTCCATATTAGAATTTTTGAAAAATATTCCTATAGTGCTTCACTTTTTCCTTATTTTTTTTTATTAAAGTATTTACATATTTGGTTATTTCTTGCTTTTTTTGTGGACCCCCAGCACCTTTTTGGAGGCATTTCTGCAGGTTAATGATGGTTACCAGAAGTCGTTCAGCTTTAACTTTGTAGCACTAAATGAAGCAGTTCCTCACCAAAATCAAACTATGATAGTATCCATGAGTATAGCATAACTGTTTAGTTGAGTTATGTTACTTGCTCACGTTAATCAAACAGAAGGTGCTCTGTCCTGTTGGATTCTGGATTGTGTTTGTAGATGTGATTGTGCCACGTGAAGACGTTTGCCATTTACCCGGATTAAAGCATGCGCTGTAGGGGGTAAGGACATGTTATTGGTCGCATTTGATTTCATACGTCAGTCTTCTCACAAGCAAGTGAACTCAAGATCAGCGACACAAGGCTCAACTCTGACCTTTGCCCCTAAAGTTGGATCATCTGGCACCTGGGAAACAGGAAGATGCTCCTGTGGCCTGCAGCACGAAGCGAGATGAACAAACTTAAGAGTTGCAGAGTAAGTTTTGAGTTGACAAAACCCGAAAAACCAACCTGGTTCAGACCAGGTTCACCGGGCTCACAAAGCTCGATATAAACGTTCTCTGTCAAATCAGAGTTTGAACCAGAGTTTGTGATTAACTCTAGTGCGTGCACCTGAAAGTGTGACACGTGCGTCAAACAGCCAATCACCTGGAACGTGGAGAGCATCAGCAAAGCATCAGCACTTGGATTCAATTCTTGCGAGAGTCGGTGCAATTCACTTTTCTGCTCAAGATTAAGAGATGTCGTTATTAAAAATGTTATAAATTTAAATGCATTTACAAGGCAGGAATAAACACTTCTGCTGCAGCCAAAGTTTGGCAGCAGAAAGAAAATGACTATGCAAAGGAATCAACTGAATGTAATTATTATATATAGTTTCACACAGAGCTCAAAAGGTAAACCGTATAAGATTAGTCATGTTAAGTTGGATATATTAAAGCCTATATGTATGTATGTGTGTGTGTATAATATTTAATTTAAATACGAAGCTTAAAATTAATTGCCACTTCATATAATAATTATATGAATATATTATATGAATTATAAACAATTACAATTAATAATTGGTACAATTTTGTCTCTAAAATTCTTTGACTGTAAACTGCTTTAATTTGGAGCGAGAGATACGGGGGAGTGGCTTCATTGCATCAGATATTTGTCACTTTGCTCACAGCTGATTGGTCAGGTTTGGGTTTGCGATCTCTAACCCAGAATAAAACCTGCTCCGGAGCAGGGTCACTGACCGTGTAGTGCAAGTTTCCATAGTGATTAAACCCGCTCAAAACCAACCCATCTTCTTGAGGCCGAAAACTCAAAAGAGTTTGCTCAAACTAAACGTGAACTTACCTGGGTAAAAACTGAGACCGGCTTCGTGCTACAGGCCACTGGACACCATTCAGACTGTGGCGACGCGTTAATCCTAATCTCAGATATTATTTTGGATGGATGGTGTGCAAATTGAGATTTTGCAGCACATACAAAATTGGCTTGTAAGATTGGTAAACAAGCGTTCAGTTTTAACCGGTATCTTTCTTCTCCCTTCTTCCATTATATTATCTTGTGTAACAAAAGCAGGCTCCTGATTTACATAGCATTTATCCAATGTTTTGTCTTCGGACCTCGGCAGTTCTTCTTTGCTGCACACACTGGCATGGAAACCGTTCACAGCAGAGCCAAGATGGACAACATCGACAGCAGTAAAAAAAAATAAAAGGGCTACTTCTGTGTCACACTGCATGTGTGCCTGTGTTTGTATTTTAGTTTGCCTATCTATCTGTTTGTGCTTATTTGAATATTAGATAGCCCGAATGGAGGATATTTCCTTAATTCCTCCTTAACCTACATAATCTATGGTATGTGCTCACTGCAGCATACTATGAATTTGTGGATAATTTGACTGTGCTTACTTTGAAATAGAGTCTACAGAAGCTTGTTTCCACCACAGATTAAAAAATAAATAAAATTAGGGTAATTCTGAGATGTAAATTCAAATTTGAGACAAAAAAGTCAGAATTGTGAGAAAAGTCACAATTGCATTCATTAAATTTTTTTTTAAATTTCATGGTAGAAGCAGGCTTCCATAAGAGTGTGTACTCTTCTTGTTTATTTGCCGTCACTACATACTTAACCAGCCTGCACAGCCCAGCATTCAGGACACAGATTAGTAAGCTAATCAGGCATGGGCCTCAGAGCAAAGGTTCAAGAATTTTATGTCCTGTGCTGGAATGGAGAGAAAATGCTAGAGAAAGTGTTCAAAACTTGCCAGAACAGCGTCAGTTCATGCATTTTATGTCTAATCTCGAGAGGAAAGGTTTCATGGTACTGTAACTATGCAAACAGGTCTATCTTTTGAGCTAAGAAGTATAGACTAGTTGATGTTGACTTCGTTCAGAGCTTTGATTGTTTTTGCACCCCTTGGGCATATATGGGTCAAATGAAAAGCCTTTATTAGCGAGCTACATGAAGGCAAAATCAGTTGTTTACACAAACACGCCCACAGGTGTCAGGTTAAAGTCACAATAGCCTGGTGTTTGTTTAGATGGTGCATATGTCGGATGATTTCAGTCACACTTGGCTGCCATTAATGACATTTACCAAAGATCAAACCATTAGCGTTTCAGTGATGTAGCAGATGTTTAAGATTGTTTTTTGCGGTTTTATAAGCCTCATAAAGCTTGGAGTTTGAAAAGTCTGTAACACTTAAGCTTGCGATTTCAGATTTGCTGTCAGGTAATTTCTGGGTTAAACCCCACTGGGTCTCCCTTACCATCAAGTAATGAGCAAAAGCCTTGACACACACACACACACACACACACACACAGACACACACACACAGAGAGACACTTTTTTGCTTTATACATTCTCTTAGGGAGATATACACGTATGCTGCTTTATAATAAGTCTCGGTGGAGAACTGATGGATAATTTGACTGTGCTTACTTTGAAATAGAGTCTACAGAAGCTTGTTTCCACCACAGATTAAAAAATAAATAAAATTAGGGTAATTCTGAGATGTAAATTCAAATTTGAGACAAAAAAGTCAGAATTGTGAGAAAAGTCACAATTGCATTCATTAAATTTTTTTTTAAATTTCATGGTAGAAGCAGGCTTCCATAAGAGTGTGTACTCTTCTTGTTTATTTGCCGTCACTACATACTTAACCAGCCTGCACAGCCCAGCATTCAGGACACAGATTAGTAAGCTAATCAGGCATGGGCCTCAGAGCAAAGGTTCAAGAATTTTATGTCCTGTGCTGGAATGGAGAGAAAATGCTAGAGAAAGTGTTCAAAACTTGCCAGAACAGCGTCAGTTCATGCATTTTATGTCTAATCTCGAGAGGAAAGGTTTCATGGTACTGTAACTATGCAAACAGGTCTATCTTTTGAGCTAAGAAGTATAGACTAGTTGATGTTGACTTCGTTCAGAGCTTTGATTGTTTTTGCACCCCTTGGGCATATATGGGTCAAATGAAAAGCCTTTATTAGCGAGCTACATGAAGGCAAAATCAGTTGTTTACACAAACACGCCCACAGGTGTCAGGTTAAAGTCACAATAGCCTGGTGTTTGTTTAGATGGTGCATATGTCGGATGATTTCAGTCACACTTGGCTGCCATTAATGACATTTACCAAAGATCAAACCATTAGCGTTTCAGTGATGTAGCAGATGTTTAAGATTGTTTTTTGCGGTTTTATAAGCCTCATAAAGCTTGGAGTTTGAAAAGTCTGTAACACTTAAGCTTGCGATTTCAGATTTGCAATTTCTGAATTTCTGGGTTAAACCCCACTGGGTCTCCCTTACCATCAAGTAATGAGCAAAAGCCTTGACACACACACACACACACACACACACAGACACACACACACATAGAGACTCATTTTTAGGCTTTACATTCTCTTAGGGATTGATAAACATGTATGCTGCTTTATAATAAGTCTCGGTGGAGAACTGATAACTCCAGGTTAGATTACTGTAGTAATGAGGTCTGTGTGTTTCTTTTCAGAGCTGGTAGAAACTGAGGTGATCCTTTCTGAATGAAATGTGAAACAATGATGACTTTTATTAAGATTTGTTCCTTTTTCTGGAATGGTGTAATTTCAGAAATTGCCCTCAGTATTCATTTGAGACCTTGGCCATTGTTTGTCTCAGAAAGGTGATATCTTGCGTTTTTGGAAAGTGGGTAAAATGGGTCAGACAGAGTTTGGCCTGGGATAAATCAGGAGCAGCATTGTCCTGGAATCTAGAGCAAGTGACGGCCGTTTCGGTTCCATCTCCTCAGGGATCACACACGGAAATAGATTGAATAATATCACAATAGCTCTGTTCTAACATGTAATGAGCTGCCTGAGTAGACAGCATCCTAAAGTCATGGAACCTCTTTAGGATGTATGTTTTCCAAAAGTGAATTTTTCATAAAATTCTCAGAAAATTTAGCTTTTATTTTTTATTTTTTTGAAGGAATTGAGATTTTATGTGGCATTCAAACGTGTATTAGGCCCCTATGAAATCATTTTTTTTTTACCCCCCAAATTCTGTGTTTTCTTTTTTTTACTTCTCTGGATTCCATTTTAATGGTTTAATTATTGTTAAAAATCAAAAAGCATGTCTAATTAATTTAATTCATTAAACCTGAACAAGTAAATAGAGTATTCAAATGGTAATAATTATGAAACATTTTCTTTTCTATCATACTTTTCTGAATTCCTAATTTTTAAAAAATATTTTATAATTGAATGCAAAAATGTTTGTTAATCCAATACGGTGATAATCGATAAATGCATCAAACTATTTTTTATTAAAAAATGTAATCAAATGGAAATTTTTCTTTTTTTTCACAAACAGTGCTGTGTTACAGAGGTTTACAGTTTAAATCAAAACATGAATGTAAAAAGATTGTGTGATATTTCTTAAAATAATAATGTTTGAATAAATTGTATTATTATTATTAGAACATTCTACTATATAGTATTAATATATTTCTGTTAATTAGTTAAACCTTTATTTTGATGGGTTGTAGTTAAGAACCTTGAATGTCTGTGTGTATTTAACAGTAGTTTTTATCAAATGAAATGGTGAAATGTTGGCGAATTGACTCTCGGAGCAGCTCTGGAGATGAAGCCCATGCCTTCATGTCCTCATCAGAAGCATGCTTCAGTATGTGTAGTAGATGAAACTGATTCTTCATTCACTCCGAGACAGAGAACATAAAGACTTCTTCTTTTAGTAGCAGTCTTTTAAATATTCAAAGACACCAGTCCATATAGCAATTTAATTATACAGCCCTACTTTTGATTTATTCATCTGTTTGATTAAGTTTTAGTTTTATGACTGGATTCCTTTTGCGTTGAAATCATAGGACCATTAGGTTTATTAGGTAGAAAAGGATGCTTTGTTTTTGGCATGAGTCGCCAGTGATTTTTGCTCAAATGTTCTTTTTGATTGTTTTTGTCCTTTATCTATTCCCTCCTCGTCTAGACACACCATCTGCCCATGTCTTGTTCATCCCCTCCTCCCCCACTGTGGAATTATGGGTAGCACTGTTTAAAGATCACAGTTTGTGGGAGCTATAATACACACTAGCATGTGGGTGTTATGTATAGGACGACTATAGTTTTCCTTTTTTATGCTATTGAAGCTGCTTATAACATTTTGAATGTTACAATTGCTACAGAAATGGCTTTGTACCTCATTTGTATTTAGGATATTATTTTGAATAGATATATAGATACATAGATACATATAGATACATAACCAAGTTAATTGAGGGATGTTGTGTCTGCAATTTCTGTATCGTAAGTTTGTATGAAAAAGCATGATGCACAACAAGATAACATATAACTATTATTGATTGATGCGTGTGATGACGCACACAGTAGGAGGTTGATTGGTTTTATAGAGGGGGAATCAATAACACAATTTAACCGGTTTGCTGATTCTGACGTGTTACTGATCACAGGAAGCTTGCAGATGTAGAGACCTGATTATAGTAACACTACAAATACACTTTCTGTCTGTAGATGGTTAAACCTTCTCAAGCCATATACTTTATATGTTTACCCATGGATTCATAAGCCTATCTTGCACCTGTTTTCAAGGAAATGTTTACTGCCCAGGCTGAGGTCTGTCGGGTCATAAACTTTCTTACAGTCACTTCCTAAAAGAGTGTGAGAGGGTCTTTGAGTAAATCAACAGTATGTAGAGTGCACAACTTTGTTTTTTGACAATGCTTTGGTGCAGTATGTATTGTGATAATCACTGTGCTAATAAAAATGACATTTCTATTAAAAAAAAAAAGATTAATTAACAAATTTAATTCAGTTTTCCAGTTTAGAAATGACAACATGAGACTAGTATGTGTGCAGTTCTTGGAATTTTGCCATTTTATCATGTTTACTTAAAGTATTATAGTGTAAAAATGGTAAAATCATTCCTCATAATATATACATTATCCATATTTAATGTTTTTATATTTTGTATTATATTAATATTTATTATCATATATTATATATTTAATGTTTCATGTTTCATTTGAATATTTAGACCACCAATGCAATTGATAACGATAGTTATCAATAGTCTTGGGTGTTTCACTCAATCATTTTCCCCTGAGGTTCACTTTCACATAACCATTTTCCACCTTTTCTCTGAGCTGTGGCATTAAACAGATTTTTTTGTTTTGTAACTGTACCTTTTAGACTTGTTATAATCAGCTTATTTTTGTGAATTGAGTAACAATTTTTAAGGATTGTGAAGTTTAATATAGTTGTGCTGCCCCGTCCTTCAATAACAGCCTTTTTCCAACAATTGAAAAACAACGTTTTTAAGAGAAAAGTTAAAAAGCCTTGAACTTAAAAGTTTTTTGGTCTTATGAACAAATAGATAGAACAATGGATGGGTAGATGGATAGGTAGAATGATTTCCAGAATTCCTTACACCAGAAAACTTGCATTAGAAAGAGCTGAAATTATGAACAAATCCCATTTCTCAGCAGGCATTTCTAAATTTATAGTTGCCATAGAGTTATAGGGCTACCAGAAAAAAATAATTTTCTTGATTAAGGGAACTCATTTGTGAAGATTTCAGATGACGCCAACATGTGCAAAGACTAGATGATGCCAACTTTGGGTCGACATATAAAGCTGTCAAATATTTTCTTATATTATAGCCTAATCATTACAAGAATAAGCTGTAATTTCTGCTGAACACATTCAAAGTGTTGCATAATTCGTTATCTTATAGTTGCATATTACACATGGAGATAACCTCAGTTTTGTTAACCTCATACACTCAGGTTTGGCTGATGTTTCCTAATTGTAACATTGAAACACGATTCTTCTTTAAAAGTGCTTAAAAAAATGATGTATTGTGAAAATAAACTTGAACTGAATTGTGTATGTGCAGCTGTACGGGGTTCCAAGTGGTTGGAGAGAGAGGAAAGAGCCCGACAGTTTCATGAGAGACAGCTGGAGGAACGCAGGAAAAAGCTGGAGGAGCTGCGAGTGAAGGAGGAGAGGAGACGCATTGCTGTGGAGGAGAAACGACGGCAGAAACTAGAGGAGGAGAAGGTGGTTGAGAACCTGCATTACATTGTCATAACTGTGAATATATACAGAGACCATTTTTTATTATTGTAAAGGAAATACTAAAGGCGAACCATACATTTTGTAAAAAGTGGTGTGCGTTTGTTAGAGGGTGGACATACAGGATAAATTCTTGGAAAAACAAAATAAAAAGGACATTTTTGACCAATTAAATGCCCTCCAGAATGAGAAAGTCTTTTTGTGTGTTCCAGGTCCGGTATGAGGCTGTTATCAGGAGGACCATGGAGAGGAGTCAGAGAGCCAGGCCCAAGTCAAACCGCTGGAGCTGGGGTGGAACGCTCTCTGCCAGCACCTCACACAACAACGGTAAACACACATGTGCACAGAATGATCAATATGGTTATACTGTATAAAGAGAATCTGGAAAATGTCAAAATACTCACACATCAGATGATGTTGCTTGTTGCATAGAGGTGAGCTATAACATATTCCCGTTTTCATACTATCAACTTTTATCTGGATGACAATAAAATAGACACACACACACATACACACAAATCAAATACTGGGAATGTTTGAACCCAAGTAAGTTGCTTGCTGGTGCAAAACATTGTTGATGTAATACATTACTGTAATACATTCTAGGGCTGCACAATGTAGGCAAAAATTTTTTTTTTTTCCTGATTAAAATTTGCAGTTACAATTTGAAACATGACAATTATTATTACTGTTAAATAAGAAATTACTATTGTAATTTCTCTGTAATTTAAAGAATTATGTATTTAAGAAAAATAATAATAGAATAATAATTTTATTTAACAGTGCATATAGAATGAAAATGAAAGTATCTTAGTATAAATCTTAGTATAAATACTAAGATTTATGGCTGTCTTCATTTCTTTTCAAATGTAAAACAGTCAAACTTTTATTTAGTTGGAATAATCCAGGAAGCCCTTAAAACTTTTTGTATTGCGTTTTCAGTTGCTTTTCGATTAATTTCGCAGCCCAAGTTACAAGCTCACGTTAGCCTGTTTTTCAGTATTTAAAGTCCTAATATTAGTGCTTTTTAAAATGTTTAAATATAAATTCATATTGTTTGCAGTACAGCATATTTCTTTATGTTCTGCTCACATGTGTTGACTCAGAGCCATGAGCTCACTGCACACTCCCCTTGTTTCCTTTATTTACTGCTCCATCAATATCTTTCTTTCTCTTTCTCTCTGTATGGTTCTGTATCCATCCTTCTCTCTTCTCTCTCACTGCTTCTCTCTATCTTTATCTCTCAGGTTTTGATGATTCTGCTCTCTTTTCTTTGGATCTAGCTGGGCTGGAGCACTATCATGGTGTTTACAGCTTGGCGCATCAGCAGCAGTTTCGATCGAAATGTGAATATAATAATCAGTGTAGAGCAGCAGACTAGCAGCATTAGCTAAAGCTTGTAGCATCACCCATGAATGATTTAGATTTCTTTTCATTTCCTGTCAGCAGTTAGCATGGAACCAGAAACACAAACTGCTTAACCAGTAGTATGTAAGATGTGAATTTAGCTATTTTGTAGTTTCTGTTTCAAAGGGGCCATTTATCTTTTTGTCACTTTTTTTTTCTTTATAGTCCATCAGCTTTTATTCTTTCATTTAGGTTTTTCTTTTTTGCTATTACACTTTTAAGATTAATATATTACGTGTATTGACCTTTAATGTTTGATGGTTAATATATAGATACTAACTGTAGTAAAATAGTTTTGTAAATAAAAAAATGCACAGTTTTTTTTTGTCTACTAAACTAATTTCAAGCATTAAAACTTAAGCCTTTAGATCACTTAAAAAAAAATACTGACTAGTTTTGTACATCAATGTCTTTTTATTTTCCATCTTATTTTTTATTATATGACCCCTTTAAAGTTTGGTAATGTCGATATCGGTGATGTTAGATACTTTTTAAAGTGTTTAAAAGACATCACAGATGTCCTGCTAGTTTTAAAGTCGTCAATGTGTCTGTCCATTCTGGGACACACAGATGGAAGGCAGATTGTGAGCATTAAGCAGATGAGTGTGACGTCATCCTCTGTAGTATTTGGTATATGTAGCTAAGCACTTTTCCTAACTTAAAAATTAGCATCCCTAAACTGCAGGTAAACACACAGTAGAAAAAGTCTTAGTAAAGCCTCTTTTAGTGCATTTGTCTGTATTATGCCTTTAAGGTGTGCATCTGATGTTGTATCTTGCATCTGTGTGTTTGTAGATACTGACAGAAGGTCAGTCTCCACTATGAATCTGTCCAAACCCACAGATCCAGTCATTTCCAAACGCCTGTCATATTCCTCAGCCACCTTGCTGAATTCACCAGATAGAGGTAAACACGCACACTGTCTCTTTACGTTTTACACAATCAGTCACATAGCCAAATTAGGTTTTTGTTTTCTTTTTGAATAGTTTACCAAGAATCACTATGTTCAATTGATGTTGTCTTTATGTGTGTGTGTATTTGTGTGCTGTGTGATTGTGCTGTACCGTCTAAGCCTTACAGAAGCAGACATCTCTCTCGTCGTCTTGCTTGATTAAAAAAACACAATCTAAATCCCAAATCTCCAAAGAGAAGATACCTCAGGACAAACCAGCAGGTGGATTTCAGAAATCCAGGAATCTTTCTTGATACTCTCCTACTGGGTTCAAACCTGTGCTGTCCGGGGCTCCAGACTACAAATAAAATAATCATAAATGAAAAAAAACAAAAACCTGAATGAACAGTTCACAGAACAATCAATTACAAAACTTTTTTGTCAATATGTGACTTCAGTGACACACATATTACATTTCTTTAAAATGCATGCCTTTTGCTCCTTCACAGTACACAGTAACTGTTGGATGAGAAGTGACGTGTTCAAGTAAGAAGCTTTACACTCAATGAAGTGCATATTCTGTTTCAATGTAGGCGTTACCATTGCATCTACACAATGTGAGCATGACCAAGTGCTTCTAACTAAAAAGTCTGTAATCAAACAATTCTGTAATTTGTCATTTTCAGTCTTGAGCCCTGGTTACACAGAACTCTGGAGTCATACAGTTTACAAATATTGCATGTTAGTTTATATAAGTTAGTTTATAAAAGTTTTAAATTATTTATTCATGTGCAAACAATAATTTGGATATAACAATAATGGAAAAAATTTGCATGCTGCATGCTTGATTTGACTATATTGTTAACATGCTTTGATATTTAGTTCTTGCATGCATTTTTCCTTCAGCAGTTGGCAACCTTTTTTTAAAGACAACATGAAATCAAAATAGATACATTTTTTAGTGTCAAATTGTGCACAATTTATCAGTGCATCTTATTTTAAAGAAGCAAATTGTTGACATTGTTTTTCATCATAATGTAGTTACTGAAATTACTTTTCTGCTGCGTGACAGGGTATGTAGGGTGGACCAAATAATATTAATTTCATAAACTCACTTTTCATGGTCCAATCGAATCCTGATGGATAACATCAGGTCCTGGCCAAAAATATTCTCTCAATTAAAAATATCACACACATTAAATGGGTTGTGATTGTAGTTTCATGTTGTCTTTCCACAAGTGGTTATGTTTATGGTAACAAACCCTGTTTTTATTTTATTTATTGGTCTAACTTAAAGAAATGGTTCTCCCAAAAATTAAAATTTGCTGAAAATGTGCTCACCCTCAGGCCATCCAAGTCATAAATGAGTTTGTTTCTTCATCAGAACGGATTTAGAGAAATTTAGCATTACATCCCTTGCTCACCAGTGGATCCTCTGCAGTGAATGGGTGCCATCAGAATGAGAATCCAAACAGCTGATAAAACATCCACAATAATCCACAAGTAATCCATACGACTCCAGTCCATCAATTAACATCTTGTGAAGTGAAAAGCTGCATGTTTGCAAGAAACAAATCCATAATTAAAACATTTTAGCTTAAAACCGTTGCTTCCAGCTAAAATGGTCCTCTGTTTCAATACAAAAAACTCATCTACTGTACATCTTGGATGACCTAAGGTTAAGTAAATCTGCAGCAACTTTTCATTTTTGCATAAACTATTCCTTTAAATGGGTTGCAATTGCAGTTTCAGGTTGTCTTTCTGCTAGTGGTTACGTTTAGGGTAAAAAAAATCTTGTATTTCCTTTATTGGTCAGTCTCGCTTAACATAGAACTTTACATAAAACATGCATGATTCACTATCACCAGCAGATGATGCAAATAGGTAACCTATTCTGGGCGTATGATATTATGAATACATGTGATGCATCTGTGTCAGTTGCTCTACTGTTGCATGTGCAAACTACTTTTTAGCATTTTGTCCCTGGACAACCAAATATTTCCTTTCAATAACGATGGCAGTATATAAGAGAAAATGTGAATGTGTGTTGTCCAGGTATGCGTCGCATGCCTCTTACTGCGTGGGAGAATACAATGATCAATCGACTACAGACACCAACACACTCTTACCTGGCCAGGAGTCGCAGCGCCATGTCTTTGTCTGGAGAAGCAGGTAATTACTTAAATAAAAAAGGTAATTCTCATAATTATGGGACAGAAAGTCAAATTTGGGAGATGTAAGCAATTCCTAGAAGAAAAATCTGCATTGTGAGAAAACTTGAGATAAATGTCAAATTTACTTTTTGAACATTTGTTTAAATTCCAAAACAAACATAATTGCGAGATGTAAAATCTGAAGAAGAAAAACAAGTCTAAATTGCAAGATATAAACTCACAATTAGTGGTTTTTAGCTTGTAATTGCAAGTTATCTTTTTAAATATTCAATTCCATGGTGGGGTTAAGCTTTCATACAGATAAGATGGGAAATTTGCTTTGTGCCTTTTTTTGCCCGCCATTTTACATTTTTTCAATTCAAATGTATAAAATAACATGCATGTGTTGGTGCGTCAAATACTTCTTAAGATAAGCTGAGAAATCTTAAAGGTATTCTGCCACATTGAGACTGCAGTTTCAAAGTAGCTTTAACTTTGTTTGCAACTGATACTTATACAATAGCAGAACTTCAGGACATTTTATTGTGAACCCACATGTATGTACAAAGAAAGAGAGCAGAGAAAGAAGGGAATGAGAGTACTGTAGAACAGTGAGGGCTGTTTCTGGAAAGGCCCTTGTCCTAAAACAAAACACCCTTTTCAGGCAGACTTTTCTCTCAGCGACAGCCTTGCCCAGTTGCTGCCAACTTCATCTTAAACTGACGTGTGTGTGTGCACAAATGGACCTGATGCTAAGCTAATCTCTCAGTGGCTTGTGTTTCTTGCTAATCATTTGGTGTTTTTTTCTGGTTGGGGATGCTGTTATCAACTGATTAAATTTTAACATGGGCAACAGCTTCATCATTTGACTCAGGAATGAAAGTGTCTGTGTTGTTCAGAATGAAATACTACCTCACTGTTTACTGCATACTGTGCCATACTATTTACTGCCTGCTGTTTTTATAATCATGCGTGAAACGCTTTGCAGTGTGAATACATATTTCAGACAATAAGTATGCAATGTTGTTAACCTCATTACATCTTATTTTTATTGTAGTAGGCCTAAATGATGTCCAGTTTTTGTCTCTGAATTAAACATTTTATTTTGCATTTTTATTCCAATTTCAGTCAAATCAAATAATTAGTTAAAGGCATAGTAGAATCACATATTGTTTCTAGTTAATTTGTCAAGCCAAAAATATCTAGTGCATTGCATTATAGGATATAATATGCCACTCTGTGTGTTCTGGCTGTATAATTAATATTTTGGCAATTTCAGTTCCTTGCATACAGTAAATGAACCCATTAAGCACAGTATACATCATGCATACTGCAAAAATAGTATGGTAGTATGCCATTCTGAACAGGTTTCAGATTGTCCTCCCTACAGTGATGGATGATGTTGCCTAATTTCTTCATAGGCTATAGCTTTGTAGATACTAATACACACTTTCTTTTTCTTCCCTTTCCACTATTTCATCACTCATTCACCCCTTTTTAACCATTTTCTTTTGCACAACGGCCTCCCTCCCTGTCGCTCCTCTTGTCCATATTGAATCAATTTATTTATCCCATAATACTCCCTGGTCGGTTGGTTAAACTTGCCTGTGGTACAGTGACCCCCGTTTGTCCTCGCTCAGCCTCCTGTCATCCAATGAGCTCCATGTCCTTCAAGTCCATCCAGTCACGCAGTGCTGAGCGACCAATCAAAGCAGGCCTTAATCTTGAGAGACCAATCAGAGCAGGGTTCATCCCTCTGGACAGCAGCGCTCGCAGAAAGACCACCCAGAATTTGCCGGTAATAAACACACAAGATTAGTTATTGTTGTACAGTAATTGTGTTATTTGTTTGTGCTTGTGCAAGTGCCATATGCTTTAAAAGACGTACTTATGTAAACCAATTGAAGTGTGTTGATCTTTGTATAATGTAGTATGGAAGTACGGTAGATGTCTCTCAAAGGATGTATTTTGTGTGTTTCATTGGGCAGATTGACAGGAAGGATAAGGACAATGTGAGAAAGTCATGGAGTAACCTGGCATATCCCACTACCAATCTGAGCCTGTTCACACCCAAGAGATCTCCTTCACCTGTCGGTCATCGCAGCAGGGTCACCAATCCATCCCCCAACAGGTATAAATGCCATTTTTAAGATGAAAACAAGATTGTAAAGAATAATATATAAGTATAAAAGTATCAACAGTGCTTTTTTTAGACTGAAAATTTGTGTATATTTTATAAACAGCCCACCAGGTTTAGTAAATTTAAAAACCAAAAATAAATTCACATTTACTTAATCATTGATTTTCCTTTTGTGTTAGAACCAATCTTCAGTCAAGCAAGGCATTAATTTGGGAAATATATACACTACCGTTCAAAAGATTTTTTATGTTTTTAAAGAAGTTTCGTATGCTCATCAAGGCTGTGTTTATTTAATCAAAAATACAGAAAAAAACTTAATATTGTGAACAATTTTACGATGGAAAATTAGATTTTTTATTTTAATATACATTAAAATCTAATTTATTCCTGTGATCAAAGCTGAATTTTCAGCATCATTACTCCAGTTTTCAGTGTCACATGATCCTTCAGAAATCATTCTAATATGCTGATTTATTATCAATGTTGGAAACTGTTGTGCTGCTTAATGTTTTTTTTTTTTGGAACCTGTGATACTTTTTTTCAGGATTCATTGATGAATAAAAAGTTAAAAAGAAGAGCATATATTTAAAATAGAAATCTTTTCTAACAATATACACTACCGTTCAAAAGTTTGGGGTCAGTAAATTTTTATTCTTTATTTTTTTTAAAGAAATTAATACCTTTATTCAGCAAGGATGTGTTAAATTACTAAAAAGTGATAGCAAAGGCTTACATTGTTATAAAATATTTCAATTTTGAATAAATGCAGTTTTTTTTAATTTTTATTCATCAAAGAATCCTGAAAAAGTATCGCAGTTTCCAAAAAAATATTTGGAAACACAATTGTTGCCAATATTGATAGTTCTAATACTAAATCAGCATATTAGAATGATTTCTGAAGGATCATGTGACATCTTTATACTGGAGTATTGGCTGATGGAAATTCAGCTTTGCATCACAGAAATAAATTATATTTTAAAGTATATTAAAATAGAAAATATTATTTTATATTGTAATACCATTTCACAATATTACTGTTTTTTTCTGTATTTTTGATCAAATAAATGCAGCCTTGATGAGCATAAGAGACTTCTTTAAAAACATTGCAAGTCTTACTGATCCCAAACTTTTGAACAGTAGTGTGTATATAAATAAAAAGAAATATTCTTTTTGTAAATTTATTTATCAATCATTTTATGATGCTAGAATTCCTCTTACAGGATTTGCGAGAAATTCATTTCTTAAATATATTTGCTAAAACTAAGACTAAAATATGTAACAATAAAATAGTGTTTATATAATAAAACCTGCACTAAAATAGAAGTTTATAAACTACTTTTTGCTCACTGATTGATTTGTTGTTGTTTTCTGTTCGTCAGGGGCTCTACTACTAAACCCCCTCAGAAGACACCTAACCCCAAAAAGTCCAGGTCTCCACCTCCTCCAGCATCAATTCGTCTGTCTCCTAGTAACCCGTCCTTATCGCCAGGCAATCTCAGGCCTAACAGAGTGACATCAGAGAGCCCGAGAGCAACTCCAGAAGGAGAGGGGGCCAAAAAAGAGGATATGGAACCAGTCTCTCCTGCAATTAAACCGGAGCCTTCTGCTGGTCTGTAATGCCATACAACCATTAGTGAACCATCAAGTTCAATTAAATCTGCATCATTTATTCTACTCCTGTACCTTTTTCTGGTTTTGTAGAAGATTCTGGAAGTCCTCCAACAACACGGCCCTCTGCAGGCACAACAGATCCTGAGGAGGCATCACGTCTGCTGGCTGAGAAACGACGGCAGGCCAGAGAACAAAGAGAAAGAGAAGAGGAGGAGAAGAGACAGCAGGAAGAGGCTGAAAGGTGTGTGTAAGACACAGCCAAACCAAAGCAACAAACATGCATTTATTTTGATAGAAATTTTGAAATCATTATGTGCCTCTGTGTATGCAGGCGCAGCAGGGAGGAGATGGCCCGCCGGAAGGCAGAGGAGCGGGCGAAGAGAGAGGAGGAGGCACAGCGGCAGGCAGAAGAGAAGAAGAGACGAGAGGAGGAGGCGAAGCGTTTAGAAGAGGAGAAAGCACAGAGGGAGAGAGCGGAAGCTGAACGCCTGCAGAAACAGGTGTACACAACATTCTCATTCATTAATCACTCCAGACTGATCAATAAACACTCAGCACTCACTGTGTGCTTCAGTAAGATAACAAGTGAACATTAGGGCTGTAAATAGATTATAAAAATCGTGATTAATCTCATGACATTTTGGTAGATAATACTTGAATTTAAGGAGAATTTATATATATATATACTATCGTTCAAAAGTTTGGATTTTTTAAAAGTAATTCATAGTTTTATTTAGCAAGGATGCAATAAATTGATTTATAACTATATAATTTAGAATATTACAAAAGATTTATATTGCAAATAATGCTGTTACATTTTTGCATTTTAGCAGACACTTTCATCAAAAGTTACTTAAAGTTCTTTTGGACTGTTGTTTTGAACTTTCTATTTATCAAAGAATTCTGAATAAAATGTATCATGGTTTCCACAAAAAATAAAGCTGCGCAACTATTTTTAACATTGATGATAATGAGACATGTTTCTTGAGGAAATCAGACAAAGAAGACGGGAGTAATGATGAAAATTCGGCTTTGAATCACAGGTAGGGTTGGGTACCGAAACCCGGTGCCAATCAGAACGCAGATTTCGGTGGCTCATTTCGGTGCCACTTAAATGCTTGAGCGATTGATTTAAATTTTGTTTTCTGGTTCTCCGAAACGGACTTAAGGATCACCGGCACCGCACGTGAAAATTAATTTCCCGACTGAGAAAATTCACAAATTCACTTCCTTTTGTGATCTGATGTGGCTTCTTGTCACAGAATGAGGCAGAAAATAGGTTCTATACTGTAAAAAGCACATGGTAAAAAGGCTATGTCAATTAGCAATGGATTATAAATATACTTAATTATGATGAAAATACCAAAAATGTCTTGAATAACACAGATAAATTATACATTGTCGCAGTCGAGTGTTTATTGTCTTTGTTTTATCATTCAAAACGTTTATATCTTCTGTTTACTCAGCTACAGAGATAGCAATGCCTTTGTCCATATTAGGGATTTCCTGACTGAGTTCTATTTCTTTTGTGAAGCACGTGTGGAGTTTCTGCGCGAGGGCACCCTCTGGTGTCCAGTACGAATGAAACAGACATTAAATGTGCTTATAGCAATCAATAATGGCCAATCCATTCTATTTTGGGTAATTCATTTTTTTTTTTTTATCGTTTCAGGTACCGTTTAGGCACCGGTACTGTTTTAAAAGTATCGATTTGGCACAGGTACCGTAAAAAAAAACAAATGATACCCAACCCTAATCACAAAAGTAAATTACAGGAATAAATATTCTTAAATAGAAAACAGTTATTTTGAATTGTAATAATATTATACAATATTTTTGTATTTACAGTATTTTTTTGTCAAATCAGTGCAGCCATGATGAGCAGAAGAGGCTTATAAAACATTAAACAATCTTATCAACCCCAAACATTTGAATGGTAGTGTGTATATTTATGTAATTTGCTAATGTCTTAATATAAAATACAGATGTGGCTTCTTGTCACAGAATGAGGCAGAAAATAGGTTCTATACTGTAAAAAGCACATGGTAAAAAGGCTATGTCAATTAGCAATGGATTATAAATATACTTAATTATGATGAAAATACCAAAAATGTCTTGAATAACACAGATAAATTATACATTGTCGCAGTCGAGTGTTTATTGTCTTTGTTTTATCATTCAAAACGTTTATATCTTCTGTTTACTCAGCTACAGAGATAGCAATGCCTTTGTCCATATTAGGGATTTCCTGACTGAGTTCTATTTCTTTTGTGAAGCACGTGTGGAGTTTCTGCGCGAGGGCACCCTCTGGTGTCCAGTACGAATGAAACAGACATTAAATGTGCTTATAGCAATCAATAATGGCCAATCCATCCTATTTTGGGTAATTCATTTTTTTTTTTATCGTTTCAGGTACCGTTTAGGCACCGGTACTGTTTTAAAAGTATCGATTTGGCACAGGTATCGTAAAAAAAAAACAAATGATACCCAACCCTAATCACAAAAGTAAATTACAGGAATAAATATTCTTAAATAGAAAACAGTTATTTTGAATTGTAATAATATTAAACAATATTTTTGTATTTACAGTATTTTTTTGTCAAATCAGTGCAGCCATGATGAGCAGAAGAGGCTTATAAAACATTAAACAATCTTATCAACCCCAAACATTTGAATGGTAGTGTGTATATTTATGTAATTTGCTAATGTCTTAATATAAAATACGTATATAATGCATATTATATGAATTATATGCATCATTGTGTACTGTAGGGCATAGATTAAGGCTTATGGTTAATGATATAGAAATACAACAAACAATATGCTGCAATATACAGATAGTTATACACTTTTTAACCTAAACCCACCCCTAACCCTAACCCTACCCCTCACAGAAAACTTTCTGCATTTTTACAATTTTAAAAGTAAAAAAAATCTTTGTTTACTTTATTTTTATAACGGTTTTACAAATGAGGACATTCACAAATTGAGGTTTTTGCCGATTTTGTCAGGTTTTGCTCACTTTTGGGTACAAATTTGTCCCCAAAATATGGTTAAGTATACAATACTGCGCATCCATTGAGTACATGACATGACCATTGAGTGTATCCAAATAGTACAGATCACTTGACAGAGAGCGAAACTCTCAAGCGCTCAGTCAGCGTGTTTATCGAGTTAAAATCTGTGTTGAACGCCTCTCACACACATACTGGCGTGTAAAATCTAAGAATTTATTAGCCAATGGCTAATGTTAGACATTATTTAGTCGCCCAGAGTAAGATTTAGTCGCATATGCGAGTGATTTACTTGCAATGTAGAAGGTTGGTTATGTAGCAGGACAATGATCCCAAACACACCTGCAAGTCTATATATATATATATATATATATATATATATACACACATATGTATACGATTATTATATAGTTATAAGTATAAGTATCATTATCATTAACTCTTTCCCCGCCATTGATGAGTTATCTCGTCTTTTACAAGAAAACGCTTCCCCCGCCAAAGAGCAGTTTTTACGCTTTTCGTGTTTTCACTGTTATACACTCGGGGGCACTATTACGCATCTTCTGAACGAGTACAGAACCTCCCGAACAAATCATTTAAAAACTGCATTTTGTATTTACTTGCATTATCTTTGTGTAATATTAAAATTTGTTTGATGATCTGAATCTTTGAAGTGTGACAAACATGCAAAAAATGTAAAAAAACAGGATTGTTATACACTCGGGGGCACTATTACGCATCTTCTGAACGAGTACAGAACCTCCCGAACAAAAACACACTTGAACAGGATGGAGAAACTAGCGATTTCTTATGTAAACAGATGCATATGAAAAATAATGCAATCATCAGCAATAGACAGCATATAAATGAAAACTGCTAAAATGTTCATCCAGCAAGTGGTATATGTCTGTGCAAGCTTTGGAGGTATTGATGGAAGCGATTTACTGGATTTATGCTTTGATAATCGTACTGAATATTATCCAGATAAAAGTTTTTGATAAAAATGTGATTTTCTCACCTTTTTGCTCTAAATAATGCATTTTTTATGAAACCTACCTATATTCAAGTGTTGATAGAAAAAAGAATGCTTTAAGATAGAATAAAACAGATTTATTTATTTTTTTAAAGTAGAGGCTCTGATCTTTATTTTGGTGTATTGCATATTGAAATATTCATACAGCAAAATACACTGGAGGCCATCAAATTTGAGTGAAAATCATCAAAATCACTGGCAACTTTTTTCAAAAATGCTGGCGGGAAAGAGTTAATGATAATGATAATTTTTTGTGATATTTAAGATGATATTGGTATGCTTACTGCACCTTTGCTGTCCCCGTGGGGTTTGAATTTTTATTTTTTTTATTGTTTTATTTGTCCTTATTTCAAAGTCACTTTGGATAGTTGTCTGCTAAATGGATCAATATAATGTAGTAAATGAATCTCTCCCTCCCTCTACTGGTGATAGGAGGAACTCCAACTTATTTTTTCTTTTCTAAGCACTTTAGATAATTTGTTTACAAACAGTATGAGCACTATTTCCGTTTATTAATTTAGTAGACAGTGACACTTTTATCCCAAATGACTTCACATGAGAATACAAGAACAAGCATTTAAGCCAACAAGGTGCTTAATCTGAGAAACTCAAACTTGATGTAAAAACAGTTTGTAATCTCTGGCACCTTTCTTCACTTCAAGTGTGGCTGCCCAGCTCAGAGAAAACGGCACTGTCACAGAGGCTTTCGAGGAGGTCATAGAGGTTCCCGTGGGGACCAAACTGTCCCGTCAAGATGGAGATGGAGAGGAGGTGGAAAATGAAGAAGAGGAGAAGAGAAAGGTTCCCTTATTGGCTTTCAGAGAGAACAGCAGCATGCATAATGTGAGTGGACTGGAGGAAAACCTGGCACAGTGAAGTTCAGGTCAGTCAGTCCAGACACAACGTGGATTTGGGGTGACATGCGATGGCCCCTTTACTTTATTTAGATTTTTTTCCCATTATAGATGTATGAACATTTATAATGGTGGAAATGCAACATGCAACAAAGGAATGAAAGAAAACCGAGTCGGAGGGAGACCCCCTCAATGCACTTTCCTTCATTTGACACTTAGACACCTAAAATGGCAAAGAGAAATTACGAAGTTAAGATCTCTTGGCTTCTACTTCCTGTAATCAGCTCCTGTCTCCTCAAACTGAAGTGGCGCGCCTTAGGAACCACATCTTCTGTCTTTTTTCTAATACTTGAAGAAAAGTGTCGTTGCTGTCGTGGAAGCTCCTGTGAAGTGCTAACCATAAGGAATGTGTGACAAGAGAATGATGTTTGTTTTGTTTGTGAGTGGTTGAACTCTCTGCTTAGTTTTATAATTATTGTTCAAATGAAGAGAACATATTTTCTTCCCTCTTTGCAAAGCTTGAACAGATTTTTGCCACTTGAATTATTTTTGATATGGTTTGCAAAGACCTCATCTCACTCCACTCACTGTACGGCTCTCTCTCCGCAGTCTGAGCGAAGCAAAACTGTCATCCTAATTTTTTTTTCTTCTGATATGACTGGGTGAATCGGACTTGCTCAGGAACATATCCATGATATGTTTAACTCAAAATTAAATGGAAAAAAGTATTAGTGTTTAAATTAAGCACACCCTTTCATTTCTTATTACAGTAATTATGGGAAAAATGATGATCTATTATGTAAAGTGTGAAGTATGTACATTGTGTAAACGGTTGTTCTACTGCCTATAATTAATGCTGATTCAAATAGGCACTGTCACAGAGGCTTTCGAGGAGGTCATAGAGGTTCCCGTGGGGACCAAACTGTCCCGTCAAGATGGAGATGGAGAGGAGGTGGAAAATGAAGAAGAGGAGAAGAGAAAGGTTCCCTTATTGGCTTTCAGAGAGAACAGCAGCATGCATAATGTGAGTGGACTGGAGGAAAACCTGGCACAGTGAAGTTCAGGTCAGTCAGTCCAGACACAACGTGGATTTGGGGTGACATGCGATGGCCCCTTTACTTTATTTAGATTTTTTTCCCATTATAGATGTATGAACATTTATAATGGTGGAAATGCAACATGCAACAAAGGAATGAAAGAAAACCGAGTCGGAGGGAGACCCCCTCAATGCACTTTCCTTCATTTGACACTTAGACACCTAAAATGGCAAAGAGAAATTACGAAGTTAAGATCTCTTGGCTTCTACTTCCTGTAATCAGCTCCTGTCTCCTCAAACTGAAGTGGCGCGCCTTAGGAACCACATCTTCTGTCTTTTTTCTAATACTTGAAGAAAAGTGTCGTTGCTGTCGTGGAAGCTCCTGTGAAGTGCTAACCATAAGGAATGTGTGACAAGAGAATGATGTTTGTTTTGTTTGTGAGTGGTTGAACTCTCTGCTTAGTTTTATAATTATTGTTCAAATGAAGAGAACATATTTTCTTCCCTCTTTGCAAAGCTTGAACAGATTTTTGCCACTTGAATTATTTTTGATATGGTTTGCAAAGACCTCATCTCACTCCACTCACTGTACGGCTCTCTCTCCGCAGTCTGAGCGAAGCAAAACTGTCATCCTAATTTTTTTTTCTTCTGATATGACTGGGTGAATCGGACTTGCTCAGGAACATATCCATGATATGTTTAACTCAAAATTAAATGGAAAAAAGTATTAGTGTTTAAATTAAGCACACCCTTTCATTTCTTATTACAGTAATTATGGGAAAAATGATGATCTATTATGTAAAGTGTGAAGTATGTACATTGTGTAAACGGTTGTTCTACTGCCTATAATTAATGCTGATTCAAATAAAAAATATTATTACCTTTTTTCCATTAGATTTTGGGATGAAATGTGACCTGGATGTGTTTTTGTGAGATTCACCCTGCTGTTGTTTTTCAGTAGCATTAATCACACACATCCGAAAGCAACTTATGCTGTTATATTCATTATATGAAATATAACGTCTATTTCATCGGTAGAACCCACACAAGCTAATCGCTAAAAATCCTTCAAATGTAATCATAACGTAGTAAAAAAAAGAGCAGAATCTCTTTAAATTGCAATGCTGCTACCTATGTCTTTCCTCTGCCTTATCAGATGAAGTGAAGTTTTGAGGATTTGTTTATAGAACTGTTGTTAAAGGGCTGATTTGTTTTTTTTTATTATTTTGAAAAATCCTGTTCATCCATAAGCTCGTAACACATGCTGTCGGCCCTGTGAGTCCTGCTGCATCATATAGCCCTTTGAGACACCACCATCAATAGTTAATAGGGCTAATGGAATACCAAGTATCCTATATATGACATATTATAAAGCAATTTATAAGACTATCTCAGTTTGTTTTTGTTGAAGTCAGTATCAGTGGATGGTCAGTGGACACCATGTAAAAAAAGAAGCAGGGATCAATTACATATCTTGAAACCAAGAAATTGTAAACCTTGATATGCAAACGCTAAAATAGTATGCATAAATGTTGCACAAAATCTTTTTTGTAAGAGGGTGGGTGAAGGTTTAAAACAAGCACAACTTGTTTACTGAGACGTCAGGGACTGATTTCTCAGTGAAGAAAGAGCACTTCTGATAAAGCACCCATGCGCCCTTGACCTAACCAACAGCACTGAGTACCACTTTAAAAATCTGAAGCATTTTCTCCCAACCGAGTCGATCTATATGCATGTACAAATGATGAAAATCAATAAACTTTTTATCTGGAAACGACAAAGGCTTCTTTGTGCATGCGTCTGTGTCAAATGAAGTTGTCACAGTAAATTACCGCTGTGGTTGTGCGATTTTTTTATGACATTTTGCTGGGCTAGATTAAACTTTTGCATGTGAAATGATTTGATGTTTAGATTCAGCCGTGGCTTATATGGTGCCAATGTGAAGCTGACATCTCTTTATTTTATTTTTATTTTTTCCTGAGGTTAAGATGTTTAAGAAAACCATGCAACATGCATTCATTTTCTTTCGAACAGGGATCTCGAAATTTTCAGTGGTTTTCAACAGCATGCCACAGATGCTGTCAATCAAGCTTTTATTTAATGTGCAATATTTCTTTGAGGTCATTTAGGGAACTAAATTATGTCTGTATTTTTTCAGGTAACTATGGAGAAGTATGTTTGCCTTGTAGAAGGTTCTTGCTTACCTAAAAATGAATCACAATCATTTTGTAATGTTTAATCAATTATATGATCTACTAATAATTATTGAAGATGTATGGTATAATCTACCATTTAAATGTTATTTTAATGTTTTTGAGAGAAGTCTTATAAAGGCTGAATTTATTTGATTAAAAAAAATACAGTAAAAACAGCAATATTGTGAAATAATATTACAATTTAAAATAACTGTTTTCTGTTTAAATATATTTGAAAATGTAATTTATTCCCATGATGCAAAGCAAATTTTTCAGCATCATTACTCCAGTCTTCAGTGTAACGTTATTCTTCAGAAATCATTCTAATATGCTGATATCAATGTTGGAAACGGTTGTGCTACTTAATATTTTTGTGGAAACAGTAGGGATGCTCCGATCGATCGGCTGGAGATCGGTATCGGCCGATAATCATATTTTATGACGGTACTCACCAACTTGGCCGATCTCAGGAACCGATCACAATTTGATGACGTCAACGCGTGACGATGTACATGATGTGTGGGGACATAAATGAATTGGCACCGCAGTCATCGCCGGTGTGGAAATGCTATGACGTTTCGAGAAACAATGAAAAATTCGCTGTTTGTCGTGTATGTTTTGCTTGATGATATGATGAATAGATGGTTCATTGTTAACAGCAGATTCCACCGGAGCTGATCGCGGCTGCTCTAGTCAGTGCTTGTGTTTATCAGCCAGCCGCGGCACGTTTCTGAAGCGGCTCTCCACAATGCTTGGTTAAAAATAGTCTTTTGTGAGTTGCCACAGCGTGGAGGACGGAACAAAAACAGGTTTCCCCAGTAACAGCTGTACACAAAGCAGCGCTGAGCTCACAAACGCTGCTTTATCAGGAATATAATATGCAAGATGAATTGAAAAAAGCATTGAACATTTTCTAAAGATAGTCTTCCTTCAGAAATACAGTGATATAAAAACACCCGCGCCTCGTTTTGATTTTTAAACGTGCAGTACGTGCTCACGTTTATTCAACCAAGCCTTTTGGAAAATCTGTCAGTTTTGATATTGAGAATGCACACAAATAAATAAATGTATGGGAAACACATCCCACAGTACAACCACCTGAGCCCAACTTCAGTCTACTCATCACCTTAACTTTAACTGCGTTTGTAGCCGGCGCCATAGCCAGACTGATAAACAAACACAGACCGGAGCTGTACACAAAGCAGCGCTGAGCTCACAAACGCTGCTTTATCAGGAATATAATATGCAAGATGAATTGAAAAAAACATTGAACATTTTCTAAAGATAGTCTTCCTTCAGAAATACAGTGATATAAAAACACCCGCGCCTCGTTTTGATTTTTAAACGTGCAGTACGTGCTCACGTTTATTCAACCAAGCCTTTTGGAAAATCTGTCAGTTTTGATATTGAGAATGCACACAAATAAATAAATGTATGGGAAACACATCCCACAGTACAACCACCTGAGCCCAACTTCAGTCTACTCATCACCTTAACTTTAACTGCGTTTGTAGCCGGCGCCATAGCCAGACTGATAAACAAACACAGACCGGAAGTTAACTTCAGGCTAGGCGCGTGCGCCCATTGAAACCGTCTATATAAAGCTTGAAGCATCAGAATCGGCATCGGTATCGGCACATCACCATGACAAGAAATCGGTACTCAGTATCGGCTGCAAAAATCCTGATTGGAGCATCCCTAGGAAACAGTGATACTTTTTTTTTTTCTAAGTTCAAAAGAACAGCATTTATTTCAAATAGAAATCTTAACATTCATAACTTTATAAATGCCTTTACTGTCACTTTTGATCAATTTAATGCATCTTTGCTGAATCAAGTATTAAAAAAAAAGAAAAAAAAAGAAACTGACCCCAAAATTTTGAGTGGTAGTCTATGCATTGTGAGATTTGTTGCATTTAACAAACACACCAACAACAACAAGTAATTTGTCTCAGAATTGGTCGGAATTGCTTTATTTTGAACACATTTTCTTCAATATTGTTTGTAAATGTTTCCGAAATTTCTCTCCAATTAGAGCATAAAGCACTGGATTTAAACTGCAATGTGAAAAAGCCAACAGCCGGCAAGTGTAAAATGCATAATCAAGACGAATGGATACACTACAGTCTACGAATGAAGACAAACCATAATCCTGCAGAATTCTCAAGAACATGACTATGTTGTATGGAGCCCATCCAATGAAGAATAACAGCCCAACGCAGAATATCAGTTTGATAGTCTTGTGTCTCCCCTTTGTTCGGCATCGTGAGATTGTCTGGAACATTCTAACATGACAAAATCCCATGATGCAAAATGCAATCAAGAAGAAAACATTTTGTAAATAAACAGCGGCATGTTTTACTTGAATACTGTCAAATTCACAGTAAAGATTCCCTTCATGTTCTAAGACTTGGCTACGAAGAGAAACTAACAGTGCAGCTGTTCCGCTCAACATCCATATGATAAAGGGAGCAACTGAAAAGCATCTGCATCCCTCCCAGTCGGACAGAGGATGAACCACTGCCATGTAACGCTGAACGGTCATTAGAGTCAAGAACAACACGCTGCTGTAAAAACCGAGATAGAACAGAAACCTCACAGCTTTGCAGCCAGCCTCTCCGAATGTCCAACCATAGACGAAGTACAAAGCCCAAAATGGAAGTCCAAAAGTGAACAGCAGATCTGACACAGCTAAATTGAAGATCAGAATGTTGATCAGCAATCTAAACTTCTCATACAGCAGCAGGATGACCAAAACCAGCAGGTTACCAATGCAGCTACACACAACCAGAACACCAAAGAAAACTGGAATAACAATGGATCCAACTTTGAGCACCTCTTCTTTGTGACATAGTTGGTCTTCTGGTTCTGTATACTCTGTATACTCTTCAGTCATGATGTTCTCTGTATAATCATATTCATTTTGTCATTAGAATTTATTATTGTATTTTATTAATTTTAGATATTTAAGTAAAACGTTTATTTATTAATAAATAAGAAAGTAGAATATTCTTACCTTAATTTTTTGTCAGTTCTGTTAGTACTAATATGACTCAAAACGGGCAAGCTGCACAGCAAATTGAGGCTAATATGTAGTGTTATGGATGTTTTGGAAGGGATATTTGAGTGTTTTTTTTTATGTTGAATGGGAGGGTTAAAGACACCTACCTCAAAACCCATTTCTCTTTTCCTTTACAAATGTGAAATGAAAGTATTGTTTTCACAATGAAAGTAGTTGTTCTTTAAAGTGTTGTGTCAATTCCTTAGTAACATTTTAAGGTAGTTTCCAGTTAATGGGAGTTTCAAAACAGTTGGTTTACATTACAGTGTTCACATGATTCATTTAATTTTCATGTTAATAAGTAAAACAGCATAGCTCTAGCCCTTGCTTTTGTTTCAGTTTTAAAATCAACAGTAGGACAGACTCATTGCAAACTGCTTTTCAATCATGTATTTATTTCATAATTAAGACGTCATTTAAAAAGTTGTAAAAGTTTGTTGCTTTTATAAAGGTGATAATGGTTGCAGGGATCTCGTGTGCAGTATGTATTCTAAAAACATACTAATATTGTTGATATTTACCTGTTAAAAATGACATACAAAAAATAAGTATGATCTCAAATCTTCCATTTTCCTGTTTACGTAGGTCAATGATGATGCTGTGCTTCCTTCCACAGACCACAATTTACACTTTGTCACGTGAAAGAAAAAAAGTAAACTTCCAGTCATGACTACATTTGACGTATTTCACTGCACAAAAACAAAACAGCATAATCTGCATTTTCACAAACAGTTGTCATGGTTTATGTTAGGTGGGAGTATTTGAGAAGTTCACAACACTTCATTCACAACATATTTTCCTTGAAATATTGACTTGATTCTTGAATCTGATTATTCAAATTAGAACATGCTTTTACACAAAGATACAGCACTGAAACTTTTGTTTCAGGTGTTCTTTGTAATTTGTTTAATGATATGATCCCATGTGCAGACAGATTCTTCAGTGTTCGTTTTCTTACAAATTTTTTAAATGAATAATACACACAAAAATGAGAATTTGCTGAAAATGTACCCACCCTCGGGTCATCCAAGATGTAGATGAGTTAGATTCTTCAACGAAACAGATTTGGAGAAATTTAGCACTACATGACTTGCTCACCAATGGACCCTCTGCAGTGAATGGGTGCCGTCAGAGTGAGATTCCAAACAGCTGATAAAAACATCACAATAATCCACATCACTCCAGTCCATCAATTAACATCCTGTGAAGTGAAAACTGTGTGTTTGTAAGAAACAAAGCCATCATTAAGACGTTTTAACTTTAAAGGGGTCATATGATGCTGCTAAAAAGAACATTATTTTGTAATGAAATGTGTTTATGCGGTTTAAGGTTCAAAAAACACATTACTTTCCACATACTGTACATTATTGTTTCTCCTTATGCCCCAAACAAAGTAGTTTCGCTTTCACAACGAAGCACACGGCGCCTTCACAACATGGCAGCAGAAACAACAATACTACAGCAAGAATAAAAGTTGCGCCTTCTTTCTTCGCGTGAACATATGGGCGGCGTTATGCAAATCTTCCCACATAGTGATGTAGGTATGTGGGGGCGTGTTAGAACGAGCCGTTTTAGGTAGGTGTGGCTGACTCTTTAACTTTTATAAAGAATATCTCTTTGGATTTGAGACTTTAGTCTTTGCAACTTTACAGATCTTCTTTATGCACCAAGAGCTTGTAACACTCCAAAGAGAAAGAAAAAATTGAAATCGCATCATATGACCCCTTTAATCCATCACGTCTGGCCATAATCCATAATAACGCTTCCTGAAGTGAAAAAGTCCATCCCCTATTCTTCTCTCACATCAAAATCCACAGACACTGTGCTTGATCTGTGAATATTTCTCTCCTGATTCAGACAGGACGATTTATTCACTGGCCAAAATAATAATATTGATAGAGGAGTCATATTTTAGCTGAAAGCGGCAGTTTAAAGTAAAAAATGTCTTGATGGATTTCTTTCTCATAAATAAGATTTTCACTTTGATGGACTGGAGTGGTGTGGATTATTGTGATGTTTTTATCAGCTGTTTGGACTCTCATTCTGACGGCACCCATTCACTGCAGAGCATTCATTGTTGACCAAGTGATGTGATGCTAAAAATTCTCCAAATCTGCTCTTATGAAGAAACAAACTATTTCTACTTCTTGGATGGCCTGAGGGGGTGAGTACATTTTCAGCAAATTTTCTTTTTCGGGTGAACTATTCCTTTAAGCACTTAAAGTCTCTTTCCTCTCGAGTCTCTTGTCTTACCAAGTGTAACAAAAATACGAATGTATATTTATTCATATACGTGAGTCTTTACACAAAACAAAACCTCCTTGAAATTTCTCGTAAAGTATTACAAAACTTTGCATCTACAAAAACTAAAATCGCTGGGTTTATGCAACAGTGTGAGAAAGCTAACATTCGGCAAGCATAATATGCATAGTCAAGTCTTATGCTTACTTCACAGTCTGTGAATGGATGGATTGTCAAAGATTTTAAGAACATGACAATGTTATATGGAGCCCAACCAATAAAAAACAACAGCACGATAAAAAATGTTAGTCTAACAGTCTTGTGTCTCTTATTAGTCCGTGATTTTGTGATCGTCCGAAGCATTCTGCCATAGCAGTAACCCATGATTACAAATGCCATGAAGAAAAAAGCATTTTGAAAATAAGCAATGCCAGATTTCCATTCAACACTGCCATATTCACAGTATTGGCTGTCAGATTCTATCATGACTTCACTATGAAGTGAACCGAGCAGTGCAGCCGTTCCACTCAGGATCCAAACGATAAAAGAAGAGACTGAAAGGCCTCTGCATCTCTCCCAGTCGGACAGAGGATGAACCACTGCCATGTAACGCTGAACGGTCATTAGAGTCAAGAACAACACACTGCTGTAAAAGCCCACATAGAAGAAAAACGTCACAGCTTTACAGCCAACCTCTCCAAATGTCCAACCAGAAATATAGTATGATGCCCAAAACGGAAGTCCAAAAGTGAACAGCAGATCTGACAGAGCTAAATTGAGGATGAAGACGTTAGTCAGGCGTCTGAGGCTTTTGTAGAGTGCAAGGAAAACCAGAACGAGGATGTTACCGATGCAGCTCAATACAACCACTGCTGTGAAAAAGAATGGAATGAGAATAGATCCGACTTTTACCACCTCTTCTTTGCGACACAACTGGTCTTCATAGTCATCGATGTTGTTGTAAATGTCAGTATACTCCTCAGTCATGTTGTTCCGCAGTCACAAACTGGCCAGAACAGATCTGTCCAGGTTCAATTCTTCGCTGTTTGTACACTGAAAAAAAAAATTTCACTTAGAATTCCCTTGTAAAGTTTAGAAATAATTACAAAGAAATGGTAAGTTACACTCATTTCTTGTAAAACATGGTCCAGTAATCTTTGTTTTAATTACAACTTAAAAAAAATCATTTTTGATATTATAGAAACATTAATACAGCCTCTTGGGAAAAAGTGAATTTATAATGAAAATATAAATGACTTACCTGAATTCTTGATGATCTTGTAGAGCACAGTGATGATCAGAACAGCTCATTAACTGATCACTGCAGACGACCACAATCTCTAGAACTGGAATTTCAGGAACTATATTTTTTAGATCAACCAGCTATGAAAACTGCAGATTGTGTGAATGTACCATATCAATAAATTAAAAAGAGTAGCGTTATTGTTCTGGTGATTTCTGAGAGATGTTTGTATGATAGGTAAATAACATGCATCCCCCCTCAAACCTCAGACTCTAAATCCTTTCATCTCACATGCACAGAGGAAGCTGAAGTGGCTTTGTGATCTTTACACTTGAAGTAACTGTTCTACTAAGAGGCAACAAATACAATAGGAAAGTCACCTGCTTTCTCATGAGCAAAAGACCCAAATGATGTGTGTGATCATATGTCTAGCTTCATAAGAGAGTCACATGTGCTCAAATTTTCCAAGAAAACAAGTTTTGCAATCAAAAGTCATAGTCATTTGGTTTGTAACTTCATTTGCTATTATACTGGGGGGAAATGGAGTAGCGTTTACTTGATAAAAGCTAGGGAACAACGTTTTCACAAAAACATTTAAGCTATCTAATTTTCCACTTTTTCTTTTAACATTGTGAAGTGCTCACATACTGTCCATTTAGCTACTTTTGGCCTTTATAAACATAATTGCATTTACTTAAACAAATGTGAGATATGCACTGTGACTCTAAACTCAAATGTGTATTTCTACCCAGACAGATGCTGTCTCTCCCCACAACCTCGTCCTCTGTAGAGCGAAACTGATAGCCTACTCGGTTACACCGAAGCACATGATGGACATAAACATTCTTTATAACACTGTTAGGTTTCTAGATAACCCTTTCAAAGCATGGCTCTTTATGGAACCTTATAAAAAGGGTTAGAAAAGGGCTCCAAAAGTGTTTACACTTGGCATTAGGGTCATTTAGTGTCAAATCAACCAAATTTCAGAAACTTCCCCGGCTCATTTTTGATTTTGCTCATTTATTTTTCTGAAGAAAGATAAACTATTAAATGTCATGGATAAATATTTACTGAGTAATCCACTATTTTGTAGAGTGGGGTCAAAATGGCAATTTTGATTCAGAGGTTCAGAGCCAAATTACAGGGGGTTCAAAATGACTTCAGAAAGATGGCAGCATCATAATGTTATTTTTACACAGAGATTGGTAGATCTATTAGTAAAATATGTTGACTTTAGCAATCTTTGTTGCATTATGTGCCAATGGTGACCATTCTGTCATGGATAAATATTTACTGAGTAATCCACTATTTTGTAGAGTGGGGTCAAAATGGCAATTTTGATTCAGAGGTTCAGAGCCAAATTACAGGGGGTTCAAAATGACTTCAGAAAGATGGCAGCATCATAATGTTATTTTTACACAGAGATTGGTAGATCTATTAGTAAAATATGTTGACTTTAGCAATCTTTGTTGCATTATGTGCCAATGGTGACCATTCAAAAATGGGGAAATAGCACTTTTCAAAATTTTCTCCAAAGTTTGCATGCCTGTAACTCAAGAAGTATTTAAGATATCTTAATGTCCTTTTAGATAATGAGTCTCAACAAACTTTCCTTTCATCTTCGTTTTTAAGGCCCTACATGGTTCGGTTCCAGAGATAATGGAATTTCAATTTAGCTCATTAAATTGTACACATTTTCAGTGGTCAAAAACCCAATGTGGGTCAATTTGCAATAATGTTGAAACTAGAAATGTATCTTGTTTCCTTCTGTCAAAACAACTGCATAAACATGCCGGTCTGAATTCTTTTTCCTAAGTTTGCGTGCATATAACTGAAGAAGTATTAAAGATATTGCAACATGTTTTTAGATTCTAGTTCTTAATAAACTTTTCTTTTGGAATCTTCCTTTTCAAGGCGCTGCGTCGTTCAGTCCCAGAGATATGAGCAACTCAACGAGGCTCCGTTTCAGATTGTTGAATATTACCCATTTTCAGTGCTTGAAAACCAAATATTGGTCACTTTACATACAGCTGATACTGATTGTATTTAAAGCTAAATGTTTGAATAATAAGTAATGCTGAAACTAGAAATGTATCTTGTTTCCCTCTATCAAAACAATTGTATAGGACATACCTGCTTGAGTGTCATAAATGTTCTTTTTTCTAAAATGTGCGTGCCTGTAACTCAAGAAGTATTAAAGTTATCTTAATATGATTTAAGATTCTAGTTCTTAAGAAACTTTTCTTTTGGAATCTTCATTTTTAAGGCCCTGAATGGTTTAATCCCAGAGATATTAAGATCTCAGTGCAGCTCCATGTCCAAAATTTAGTATCCTACCCATTTTCAATTGTCAAAAACCAAATGTGGTTTTGTGTTTATCTTGTCATCACTGTTGACAATGCAAATATGCAAATAATAACAATAACCCAGGGTTTAGGAATGTACAGTGTAACAATGTCAGGCAATGAATGACCAGGGTAAAGTATGAATAGTATGCAAAATAAGATTACCCAGGATCCCATTTACTTAGGGTTTAGAATTACCCAGTATATTTAAAAATGAAGATGCCAAAAGCAAAGTTTGTTAAGACCCAATATCTAAAAGGGCATTAAAATATCTTTAATACTTCTTGAGTTACAGACATGCAAACTTTGGAGTAAAAACTTGAAAAGTACTGTTTCCTCATTTTTAAATGCTCACCATTGGCACATAATGTAACAAAGATTGCTAAAGTCAACAGATTTTACTAACAGACCTACCAATCTCTGTGTAAAAATAACAATATGATGCTTCCATCTTTCTGAAGTCATGTTTACCCCCCTGTAATTTGGCTCTGAATCTCTAGTGAAAATTGCCATTTTGACCCCCCTCTACAAAATAGTGGATTACTCAGTAAATATTCATCCATGACATTTAATATTTTGGCTTTCATCACTATACATGTGTATCTTTTTACAGAAAAAAATATTAGCAAAATCAGAAATTTGAGCCGGGGACCTCTGATTGATTTGACACGGAATGACCCATTAACATGTGAACTGTATCTGGATGTTGTCCACATAATAGACAAGTATTTGATTGGAGTGTTATCCGATGAGTGTGTCCTTGTCCAGAGGTAGTCGAGGATGCATTGTGATCGGATCTCAGTGTAACGTAAACAAAGTCTAACCATCGTATCTGCATTCACAGATTGAGGTCATAAATCCCCGCCCACTCTCACTGACAGTTGTCAGAAAATAATAGAGGGACGTACTTTTGACAAGAATTATAATATTTAAAACTGTTTATTTAGACTTGCATGATTTACCCCGTGTGTCATCTTTCATTTTCATTGTGCAACATTATCTAAATGAGGCGATTCTGTCTTGTCATATTAAGTAGAACAAATCAGAAATGTAAATATTGTGAATATCATCAAAACGGTTAATAGTTCTGAGACATTATTCATAGACTTCTATCTTTAAACAAAATCTTCCTGGGATTGCTCAAAACTATTACGGAACCTTGCATCTACAAAAACTAAAATCTCTGGGTTTATGCAACAGTGTGAGAAAGCTAACATTCGGCAAGCATAATATGCAGCATAGTCAACTCTTATGCTTACTTCACAGTTTGGGAATGGATGGTCGGTCAAAGATTTTAGTAACAGGACAATGTTATATGGAGCCCAACCAATAAAAAACACCAGCACGATAAAAAATGTTAGTATAACTGTCTTGTATCTGTTATTAGTCCGTGATTTTGTGATCGTCCAAAGTATTTTGCCATAACAAAAAACATGATTAGGAATGCAATGAAGAAAAAAGGCATTTTGAAAATAAGCAATGCCAGACTTCCATTCAACACTGCCATATTCACAGTATTGGCTGTCAGATTCTGTCATGATTCTGATATCAAGTGAACCGAGCAGTGCAGCCGTTCCACTCAGGAAACCGTTCTGTGAGGTCACATAGTGGAGCGCAAGATGGGTAAGTTTTATGCCTATTATGCTTTTTCACTTTTTCAACTTTAGTTAGTCTGTAATGTTGCGGTTTGAGCATAAAAAACATCAGTTACAAAGCTCAAAGTCCAATTCAAAAGCAGATATTTTATTTAACAGAAATCACTTTTCAAAAACTACAACGAACGACTCGTTTGGACTACAACGCATATTTTCCGGGATTTGTGATATCACAAATATCGACGAATGGGACGAGACCTGGTTGAGCTGCACTAGAGAAGGCAACGAGTGTTATCACTATGTCGGAGACATGCTAGCTTTCCCAAGGCAGACGAACTTAGAGTGGTTACAATCATCCGGGTTTAAATCGCGCTCAAATTGAGTTGATTTTGACGCAATATTTACACTGAAGCTCACAGGCGGCTATGGTAAGGGGCATGGCATGAGTGCTGCCAATCACAACACACACTGGCCCAGCTAACCAATCACAACACACACTGGCCCAGCTAACCAATCACAGCACACACTGGCCCAGCTAACCAATCACAGCACACACTGGCCCAGCTAACCAATCACAGCACACACTGGCCCAGCTAACCAATCACAGCACACACTGGCCCAGCTAACCAATCACAACACATTTCGTATTTCAGAAGGCGGGCCTTTATTTGATACAGGAACTATTCGAGCCGTTCATGTCAGACTGGGAAGAGAGGTGCTGTAATAAAGTAAAATATGTGAAAAATAATGTGTTTTTCGAACAACCTAGTATGAGAGCCTGTTCTAGTACACCCCCAAAACAAA